TCTGTTGCACATGACTGATGTCACTATTACATTTTGATGTACATCACCATCTCAATAACATATCTCTTCTTATGATTTAACAATGTTGACTACTCAATTATGGGAAGAATGTGTTTCCATAATTTGACTGAACTAAGGAAGTTGAATACCTTTTGCAAACATAAAAAGTCTGACAATCAGACATATATTTAAACAAGACCCACCTTTTATTTGCATTTAGGTGGAATAGCTTGGTAAGTCCCTCTGATATTTGACATACAGACTGGAACAGATCCTGGGCCAGTTTGCTTCAAAACAAACTGAGACGTTTACTGTGAATGAACCTGCCTATAACACCACAGTTATTATAACAGAAAAAAAGAAACAGTATCATGATATATCAAGAAGGGATCTTCAACAACAATTTACTCCAAGACACTTAAAAGATGTAGCCTAAAAGCTTGGCTAAAGATATAGATTTTCAGAAGCATCTTAAGGAAGGAGAGAGATTTAGAGAGGAAATTTCAGAGTTTAGAAACTTGATAGCTGAAGGTGCAGTCATCAATGGTACAGAATTAAAATCAGGCATGGGCAAGAGGCCAGTTTTAGAGAACTTCAGAGGTACTGAAGAATTGTAATGCTGGAGGAGATTGTAGAAATAGAGAGCTGGTAAGGCCACAGTGTGATTTGTATAACAAGGATGAACATGTCAGAAGTGAGGTATTGCTGGACTGGGACCAAATGCAGGTTAACCAATATGGGGGTTATCAGTGAATGGAGCTTTATGCTAGTTAGCATAATAGTAGCACAATCACAAAAAAAAAATACAATAAAGCAGACTGTGGCCTTCCAAAACAATGAGTTAGATTTCGCTGCTTTCATCAGGTGGCTAACAGAGAAAGTGAACCCTTCACCAAGTTGCTTAAGGCCTGAACTATTTCCATAGGTAAGGATTCACTGGGTGGAATTTTCGCCAGCTGTCAGTGGTGTGGGAAGGGTGAGAAATGTGGGAAAAATTAGCAAAAATAGAAAAGAAAATTAAAATCTCAACAGTGAGAAAAAAATGTGATTTTCCTCTTCAGGTTGTAACGGTGAGTTCAGAATCTGAACAGTAGCTACCTTATTCCCATGCATTTGAATCTCATTCTTAACCCAACTCTCCTCAATTCAATGCAGCTTCTAATTCTCCTGTCCTTTCCTGAGAAATTATTCAGCACTAATTCCTGTCACAGTAGCTACCTGGTGGCAACAATTTGCCACTTGCATCTTCAGTTCTTCATCTGATTCTGTCCTCATCAGAATGAACCTGTATGCTCCATGGACACCATTCTCTTCCATCCCTCATGTACACAGGTTGCTATCAGCAAACCACCAGCCAGGCTACATCATCATAGCTTTCTTTAACCAGGAACACTTACAAATTGTGCATCTCTGCCAGGTCGTTTTGCATGCAGGACACACATGTATCTCATGCACTTACATAATCTCATGGCTCTAAGTTTCATTTTACAATGCTCACCAACATTGCACAAACTTGGAGGTGAGCCTTGCATTGCAGGTTGTCAGCCTCTGTGGTGTGCATTGCTTTAGAAGCGCATCAGTAGAGGCAGGCAGCTTGTCAAAGTTCTGAACATTGAACAGTAAAGGGAATTAACAGGTTTCAGCGGGGCACTGTGCTCCTTCAGTGCCACACTTACAGCATGCACCATCAGCTTATGTGCCAAACTCACTGCACATACTTTGCCCAAATGGTCATGTGTGAAAGTTAAAAAGGGTACTAGGTACTTACTGTCCAAGAAACCAGATTAAAAATTATAACCTCAAGTATTCATGACTATTGTATTATTTGCACTATTTAGCTTAATTTAATCAGATGCTAACTTAAAAGTCTCACCTGTGCTTGGCATTTCAGATTTACATTTCACACCCAAAGCTGGAAGACAATATTGCAGACCTGTCAGATTCACTTTAAGTTTGCAATGGCGTGGTCTGTGATATTCGAGGATAGCTTTTTGGTTGGGTAGCCATTAGAGATGGTCATTGCCCAGCATTTGTGTGGCATAAATGTTACTTGCCACGTTTCGGCCCAAGTCTGGATATTGTCCAGATCTTGTTGAACTTGGACGCGGACTGCTTCAGTATCCAAAGAGTCACAAATGGTGTTGAACATTGTGCAAACATCAATGAACACCCCACTTCTGACATTATGATGGAGGGAAGGTCATTGATGAAACAGCTGAAGATGGTAGGGCCTGGAACACTACCCTGAGGAACTCCTGCAGTCTATTCTTGAGCTGAGATGACTGACCTGAAACAACCTCAACCATCTTCCTATATGTCAGGTGTGACTCTAACCAACAGAGAGTTTGCCCCCTGATACCCATTGATTCCAGTTTTGCTAGGGCTCCTTGATGTTTCACTCAGTCAAATGTGAGCTTGATGTCAAGGGCTGTCACTTTCAACTCACCCATGGAATTCAGCTCTTTTGTCCATGCTTGAACCAAGGCTGTAACGAGGTCAGGAGCTGAGTGGCCCTGGCAGCACCCAAACTGGGTGTCACTGAGCAGGTTATTCCTGAACAGGTGCTGCTTGATAGCATTACTGATGACACTTTCCATCACTTTACTGATAATCAGGTGTAGACTGATGGGGCAATAATTGACCAGATTGGATTTGTCCTGATTTTGTGTACTAGCTATACCTGGGCAATTTTTCACATTGTCAGATAGATGCCATGTTATGGCTGTGCTGAAACAGCTTGGTGAGGGATGTGGAAAGTTCTGGAGCACAAGTATTCAATTATATTGCCAGAATGTTGTAGGTCCCAAGCCTTTTCAGTATCCACTGGCTCCAACTGTTTCTTGATATCATGCAGAGTGAATTGAATTGGCTAAAGACTGGTATCTGTGATTCTGGGGACTCCTGGAGCAGGCCGAGATGGATCATCCACTTGGCACTTCTTGCTGAAGATTTCTATGAATGCTTCAGCCTTATCTTTTGCACTGATGTGCCAGGCTCTTCCATCATAGAGGGTGGATTAATTGTGGAACCTGCTCCTCCAGTGAACTGTTTGACTGTCCACCACTATTTACGATTGGATATGGCAAGGCTGCAGAGCTCAGATCTAATCCATTGTTGTGAGATCACTTAATTCTGTGGGTCCTAAATCATAAATCGTTCACAGGACAAAATAATTAATGTAACGTAAGCAAAAGCTAGAGTTTGTCAAAAAAAAATCTTTGCTCCTAAAGCTACTTACTTGGTAATTATGAGAAAAATCATGAGATTAAAAAAACCTTACTGCATCTATGGACCCCATAAATTGGATAAACCTATCATAGATCAAGGAGCTACCAATGAAGAATGGCAAGGTTAAAACTGTCACGGTGAAGTACATTTATGTCCCTCATTACAGATTTAAATGTACCTAGCCATTACATTCAACATTATAAATACGTAATTATGTAAAGGTATCCTAAAGTTATAACAATGGAATTTGGAGTTGCTAGTTTCTCTCATTTTCTGCCCATTTTAATTAATGCATACAAGTTATGCCTTCAAAACAAATGAACTACATTTTGTTTTAATTAATGTTTCATATTGTATAAAATTAGCCATGTATATTATATCATTTTCAATATTTCCCAACATATTAAGCATAACTATGTTGTTCTGGTAATTAATAAATAACAGTTGACCAAGTGCAGCGTAAGATCACATTATATTTTTCACCCACCCAATCTATAATGTTCATTGTGACAAAAGTAACCAGACGTGTATATAGAAAGCCACTTTTAAGGATGATGAATTGTTCCATTAAACCAGCCATCTTTTTCTTATTTCTGATTTTAGTCTGACTTCTGTTAATAGAGTTGTCTTCCAATTATCTTCGCTTGTCTATTTTTATCAGAGATCAATCTCTTTAGTTAAATATTGCCAAATAAATATCACACTGATCCACTATCTGAACATGATTAATTAGAAAGCTACAATTCTCAGCAAATTTACACAACATCAGCGTAATTTTATACATAAATTGTTATGTTATATCACTTCATCAATTGGAATCTGAATTCAACAGAAGTGAGTTCTTTACTGAATCATCACTTTTTTGATTATTACTCTTAAAAACATACGGTTTATAAGATTACAATATTTCTGGGACTGTGGCTTTAAATTTAGGGTCAATTAATGTTAATAGAAACCAAATATTATTCTGTTGAAGGAAATCGAGAGAGAGTGAAAGTGTCTGAACCATTAAACTGATGAATAGCAAGGAATCTTCTCTCCCTCTCAAAATTTGCTGTTTTGCTGGTCTACCTACCTGCACAAGAAAACAACAGCTATTCAACTACAGAAGTCTTTGTAGCTGCTGAATTTGGGTTCAGGAATTAACCTCTTCATTTCAACAACATGAAATTGAACAGGGTCCAATGATATATTGCAGAGAATTATTGGGACTTTCTTTTATAAGTATTCTTTTGTCTTATCTGTACTTATTTTAATCTTAGTATCTGTAATTCATAGTGAATAATCTTATCTCTTAATTCTTAAACAAACCTCAGCAATAGCTTAGAATAAACTAACTTCTGAAATGCTTAAATAAAAGACTTTACTGCTGATCTACTTTCCCTTGAATCAGTTAAAATTAAAAAGGGGATCCACAACCACTATAGCAATTCACTTCATTGGATACATTATGGACATGCCTGGTCGTTGTGCTGTAACATTTAAGGCTTAAAATGGAATTAGTATTGAATTGTAATTTACTTTTAAATCCTATTTAGACCAAATAGAACTATCATTCTATAAGCTAAATCTATTTTTAAATTTTTTAAATAATATTTCACACTGTATTAGTCATTCATTCACTCACTGACATATAAACGTGCCTTAGCTCATGGAAATAATTAATATCTGTGATAACACAGCTTTGCTTATGCATTTCAGAAAGAAGAATTAAGAATGTAAGACTTAACTAAATGTTGCTCCATGAGCTGTTTAGTTGACTGGTAGGATATGGACATCTTTGTCACAAACTTGTCATGCAGGTCCTCTGGTGGTGGAAAAGTTTCCAAATCCTTTTCAAGCTGTTGCAGCTGCTTTTCTATCTGCTTAAGGTTCTTTTCCATGTTTTCTGCACATACTATGGAAGGAAGACAATACAGTATTAAATCTTTTAAACTTCAAGATGTTACTTCTTTCTGGATTGTAGAGAAAGCGACTTGTGTATGTAGGACTGCAAACACATAACAGATGTGGCAATATTTTAACCCTTAAACAGCTCGGAGAGTTGGACAAACTCTCATTTACCTCGGGTAACATTTGAATTTTTTGCAGCTTGCATACTGAGGCACAGAACTGAAACACCAGTACTGCATTAAAATTACTGCAACATCAGGGATAACTTTATGGCTATCGTACATCAAGTATAGAATTATTAAACAGTTAAAACATAATACTGTATGAAGTACTTACACAGTTCAATGCTTCTACTGCTTATCTTCTTTAAAGCATTTTAATTTTCCTCATTTCATCATTTATTAACTGTTCTACCTCTTTTTCTAACTATTATTGGCCTAGACCTTCTGGTCACTGCTGACACTGCATGCACTGCCGCTATCCGCAAAGATTTCTGCCACCTAACCCTTTTCTGATTCATCAGCCTTGACTCCCAATCCTGAAAAGCACAGCCATCTCCGCTGAAGACTGATAAGTACTGCAGAAGATGGGCAAAGAGAGGATATGTCTCCATTTTATAAGATGAACTGCTGTAATTGGGTATGTTTTTAAAGGTCCCAATCTTTCAGAGGGTTAGTCAGATGGTGCCAGGAGTGTGGTGATGGGAGATGGGGTTGGGACTTGGGGCAGAGTGTTCATAATCTGGTTGTGTTAGTATGGGGTTGTATTAGGGAAGAGTGTTGAATCAGATCAGGATGTAATCGAGTCGATCTGGCTTGAGTGGGTGATCGGGAGCATTGGTTGTGGTGCTCAACTGAGTTATGTTCACTAATCTCTGAATTATACTGGGTATTAAACAGCATAAAATTTCCTGGGTAAGTATTTGGGTATATCCCCACATATCTTGCCCAAGGTTCTGACCCTGGGTTCAGTGTCAGAGACTTTAGTGGATGGTCCAGGGAATTGGAAAACAGCCCTTTGGTAATTTAAACTTCCCTGACAGTTCCAGTAACGTGGATGTCAAATTGTCTGTGCATCCTAATGTGCATCTCACAACTTACATTCAGATTTTGATCATTCAGATCCTGAAAAATTGGACCATCGGAAGTTAAAAATGCATTTTTTTCATATTATGCCAATGGCAAAGGTGAGAAATACTCATAACAACGAAAAAAATCCTTGCATTGCCTGGAAATTGGGTTTAATGATTGTTTTTCGGGAAATGAAAAGGCTCGATCATGAAAATTGGCATGTATTGAGAACAGGTCAATCCTTGACATGAATACTATATCGACACTAGGAAAAGAGGCTGACAAGTAAACTCATCTGGGGTCATCCTGCTTTAAAACTATTTTAGCTGCAGATTGGGTATTATATATCATGTCCACTACAAAGTTACTGAAAATGAAGTGTACATACAGAGAGAAAGACCAGATGTTTCAATCTTAGAATCTAAGGAGACTCCTTTATTATATGCCATGTGTAATTATTTGTTTGAATGTTACAAAATAATATGTCTTCATAAAAAGCTCCTGAATTTTTCATAAATACTGAGAACCACTTACTAGATATTTGTACATAACATGTACTTCCTCAATATTAAACATATGGTACATTCCTGCAGAAACAACAGTGATTTTTAGGAACAATAATAAACCAACATAAATTTAGCCTCCATTTCTCAAACACAGTTTGTACAAAGCACCCTGCAGGCACATCAATTACTTCTCTGATCCATGAACCAGACACCAACAGAAGATTTGCAATAACAGAAAATGTTCAAAGAAAGAAATGCAGATCATCAGCAACAACAATTGATGGTAACCGGTTCATTGCACCAACACTTCTAGAAGATATGAAATGGCAAGTACATAGGAACACAAGAAGTATGAGTAGAGGTAAGCCATTTAGCCCATCAAGGCTGTTCCATCATTCAACAAGATAATTACTGGCCTTCTACCTAAGCCTCACCTTCCAAATTATTCTGGCATGCTTAAATTCCCTTAGTACCCAAAAATTTATTTATCTCCATTTTGAATATGCTCAATGATTGAAGATTCACAGTCCATTAATTGAAGAAACCTCTCCTCAAATCAGTCTGAAATGGCTGACCTTTTATTGTAAATTGTGATAGTGGTCTGAACTTTCCAGTCTGCAGTGGTGACCACAAGACCAACCTTGATGTGCATGAAATGCCAAAGTCTGCATTTGAGAAAAGTCTGATAACGTCTTCAAACGGCCAATTAATTGCTACTGGACACATTGTCGGCACACAGTGTGAAGCAAAGCGGTCTGCTTGGCTAATGCATCAACGAAGGTGGGACATGTAGGCATCAAGCTGATAGACCATGTGTCAGAAGGATGTCACGGCCACTAATTTAGGGGCAGCCTTGTAATGGGATTAAGTCAGATGCACCAAGTCCCCTAAAAGAAGAGATTTTGTTGCTGTAAGAAATGCTTTGGAATGACTACCAGAGGTAAGTACAATTTTTTAATTTACCCTTATTTGTTTTTACTGATGGCAAGATGTCAGGAACTTAGGCAGGGCCATGGAATGCATTTAAAGTCTAATTCTGATGAATATAAGAGGGATACAGAGAACAAGGCTATTAATTCTCAGTGTGTCTCCGCAAGTGGTTGAGTGAAAGGATCTGGCTGATGGGACAGTTCAACAATGACTATCTATGATTCCTCCTCTGGGCTGAAAATGATAGAGGTCTTCAAGCCAGCTGACAGGAGACTTCCCATCCTGGACAGAGGGCTTATTGGAGGTTAGCAGCCCTGGGGGTCATCCCAAGAACCCGTGGCTGGTTATTGCATGCACTTTTCTGGATGTACTTCACTTGGCAGGTTCGGCGAGGAGGGGTACACTAAGATGGTCTGATTTCTATTCCAACAGCTTCGCACCTACCCACCCCTAATCTCACCCCAACAATACAAGAAGTTTGGTTGGGTGACAAAATTAATAGGTCATCCACCGTTATAAATGAAAAGCTCAGTTGAACCCACTATTGTTCTGTCCATGACAAAATACAGTTAGCCTGTGCTGCTGGTTGGAACTAGGCAGCCTTTTTTCAAAACGTTTGTAAAAGAGTGGAAGGAAGATTTCCCAGTTTCAGGGGTCACACTGCCCCTGTACTGTTGCTGACTGGCATGACAATGTTGACTGTATGCTGCAGGACTGAGACAGAGCTGTTTCAACACAGAAATTCAGCTCTTTGTGTTGTACGTTCCCCAACCGGGAGAGACATGTTCCCAGCATATAGCCTATCAAGCTGCTTAATTATTTTACATTTTTTAATTAGATCACAAGATCCTTAGGTTCTTCCAACCTTTTGGGAGTATAGGCTGGTTCTAATCAATTTTTCCTCTGAGGACAAACCTCATCCCACGAGCCAAACTGGTGAACATTAATTAATTAGCAAGGGTTTTTCTTGATAAGGAGTCCAAATCTGAACATAGTACTCTGGTATGGTCTCATCAATGCCCTGTATAAATGCAATAAGACTTCTTAACTTTTATATTCCAATTTCCATTTAACAAAAGTGAATACAGCTTTTGTCTTTCTGTGAGTCATGTACAAGGAAACCCAGATCTGTTTGAAAAAAAAAGTTTCCGGCTCATCACCATTTAAAATTATAGCTTTTTAAAAATTTTGGATAACTTGACACTTGGGCACATTATTTTCCATCTACTATGTTTTTAACTCGATTACCCAATCTATCTCCCTCTACAGCCTCTGTGTTCTCCTCATCACTGATGTCAAATATAACAATCGCAGATAGTCCTGAGATGCAGCCTATAGAAGTAGTGTCCAAAGACCTTAAGGCCTGCTTTGACAATTCTCTTCCTCTGCCAACAGCAAGCAGTTTCTGTTCTTGCATCTGTACCATCATCCAGTTATACTGTGACCCAACAGCAACTGGATTAGAGAAAATGATGTCGTACATGGCTTTGCAATATGATTCTGCTCCTTCTAAAGCTCCCGCACCACATACTTCTGAAAATAGTAAATTTGACGAACCCTTCCAATAACACAGCACAGTACTTCTACAAACTCTCATGCAGCACACGAACAATCAAGAGCACTGAAAGGTGGATGGTGATGCCTTTAAGTAGTATTGGCGGGATGGGTTGGGGGTGTCCCTTGTGGAACTCAATACATAGAGTCATACAGGTCTACTGCACAGAAAAACGTCATTTGGCCCATTTAGCCGACACCAGTTAAAAATAACCACCAAACTATTCTAACCCCCTTTTCCAAATTTTGGCCCATAGCCTTGTATACCTTGGGCTAGCAAGTGCAAACCTACCTACTTCTTAAATGTTCTGAGGATTTTGTCTCTACCGCCCTTACAGGCATTTAGTTCCAAATTCCTACCACTTTCTGGGTTAAAAAAGTCTTCCCTCACATCCCCTCTAAACCTCCTGTCCTTTGCCTATAATCTATGCCTCCTGGTTATTGGTCCTTCTATGAAGGAAAATGTTCCTTCATGTTTACCCTGTCCAGGCCTTTATAATTTTATACATGTTAAACTGTGTGCACTTAATTAGTGGATCTAAAAAGTATGGTCCAAAATGCATGAAAACAATGTTAGGTATTGACTGATGTCACAACCTGCTCACCATGCATGGTTCCTACCATAAGACATAGGAGCAGAAGTAAGCCATTCAGCTCGTCAAGTTTGCACCACTATTCGCTGAGATCATGGCTGATCTGATAATCCTCAACTTCACTTTCCTACCTTTCCCCAATAACCTTTGATTCCCTAACTGATTAAAAATCTGTCTGACTCAGTGCTGAATTAACTTAATTACCCAGCCTCAACAGCGGTCTGTTGTAAAGGATCCCACAGATTCACAACCCTCTTATGAGAAGAAATTCCACCCATTTCTGCCTTAAATGATCCCTTATTCTGAGATTATTACTTCTGATCCTAGACTTTCCTATAAGGGGAAATAACC